AGGCACACCCAGATTTAAGTGTAAGTAGAAAAAACATTTTCTAAGCCACCAAAACCAAGAGAACTGGTGGCCTTAAGGACACATGTGGCCTTCTAAGTCCTTGGGTGTGGCCTTTTTACTGAGTCCAAATTTTACAGAACAAATCATTTTATTAAGGGGATTTGTTTGGTGAAGTTTGGGTTCAGTCAAGGGGAAGCACTAGAGGGCTATACTCGCCAAAGGCAAAGGTTTCCCACCCCTACCCCAAACAAATGACTTTTTAGAATGCTTGCCACTTTCCAATCATCTACACCTTTGTTCCCTTCATTAGGGTAGATAAGGTGAGTGGACTCTCATTTTTTTCATAAGTGAACCTTTATTATAACTTAGGTAAATCCAATCTTAGACAGATATTGAGCATATGATTTACATTAGATTCCACAGGGTTTCCTTTCCATTCAATATCGCAATGAGTGTTGTTGCATTGTTTAATGTTTCATTCTGGAAATGGCTGTGTGTGAGGTTGTGTGAACAGTCTCTCCACATCCTTTTCCTTCTTCCAAGATTTCAAGTCTGGATTGGTTCTTGTTTATAAAGCTTTTCATGATGCACTGCTGAGAAAAGATGCTGCTGAAGAGACCACATGGATGTATTTCACAACTGTGCCATTTTGTCAAGTTATTTCAAATATAGTCTTTCAGAGGCTGGAAGATTCCAAGCCTCCTCATCAACAGACTTTGAGAGGACTGAGGATCTGGTTTTTAAAAAAAGGCAGATTTATCTTCAGTATTATAAGTCCCTTTGATCATAATATGTTTTATTATTAAGCTGATGATTGAGAAGAAGTCATGGATTCTGGGGGCAAGTTTTACACAGGGCACCAGAGAAGATGCCAAAGTTGGGAACTTGTCACAGCACAATGATTTTGAGAGGGCAGAGCAGAGCAGAATGGCAGGCTGCTCATGTCTGCCTTGACTTTCAGAGATTCTTAGGTGGAATAATGTCATTCCTGCCTTCTGCTGAAGCATTTGGGCTGGGTATTTTCCGGAGGTCTTGCAGGTGTGGAATTTTGTCCTCTTTTCTCATACTAATTAATACTCATCTTTGATCTTGGGGAAGGTGCTGAACCCTCTTTGCCTTGACTTTGAAAAATGGCATTTGGTATTATATTTTTTATATCTTTTTTTTTTTTAAAAGGCAATTGGGGTTAAGTGACTTGCCCAGGGTTACGCAGCTAGTAAGTGTCAAGTGTTTGGTCTGAGGCTGGATTTGAACTCAGGTCCTCCTGACTTCAGGGCCAGTGCTTTATCCACTGCACCACCTAGCTCCCCCTGGTATTATATTTTAAAGCTGAAAAAAAAATCTTCAGGATGTGATACTTGCCAGTTGTCAGTGAGAAATCTTCACAGTGATGTTTGAACCTAGTAAACTCTTATTTATCTAGATCTGTTGGTGAATAGGGTATGCTATTTAGCTAAGCATATAGTCTGTTTATCCAGAAGATCATAGATACTGAGCTAGAAAGGATTGTAAGGATCATGTGGTCAAACTTCTTAATTTTATTTTAAATGAGTTTTATTGATACCTTTTGCTTTTACACCGCTGTCTTTTTTATATAACCTCCAAATCAAACTCATCCCTTGTAATAAAAAAAAACAGTTAAGAAAAGGTCCATTATTGATTTTTCAGTTACTCATGGATAAGCTTGCTTCTCGTGATCTTTTCCTATACATTGTTATGGTAATTGTGTATGTTGTTGTTCTAGTTTGGCCTATTTCATTCTGTACCAGTTCATACAAATCTTCTCATTTCTCTCTGAGTTCCTCAGTCACCATTAATTACTTCATACTAATATTCCCTTATATCCATATACTGTATTTTGTTCAGCCCTTCTCCAGTTGATGAGTGTCCACTTTGTTTCCATTTTTCTGATTCCACAAAAAGTGTGGCTATGAATATTTGGGTATGTATTAGAAGTTTGTTTCTATATTTGACCATCTTGGGGACATATGGATCAAAGTTTATGAAGAGTTTAATTACCTTTCTTTCATAGCTCAAAATCAGCCTCCTTATTTTATAAATGAGAAAACTGAGACCCTAGAGAGTAAGAGACTTGCCCAAGATTCTATAAGTTGTAGGGCCAGAGCTAGAATTCTAAGTTAGGTCCGCTGACTCCCTCTCTAGCACTTTCCACTGTATCAGGCTGCTTCTAATAAATGCTTACTGAGCACCTACTCTACAACCTCACTCAGTACAGAAGTAATGAGGACAATACGAAGGATGCTGAGGACCACAGCAAGCTTACAACTGGATAAAGAATTTAACCCTTATACACCAATTGATGTAATGCCAAAGATAGAGATATGTGATTAGGACAAGGGCAAGAACAAAGTGCTTTGAGAGTTCTGAAGGGAGATGTCTTCCCTAATCCCCCCAGGTGAAAGTTTTCAGAATGTCAGTGTTAGAAGGGACCCTTGGAAGTCATCTAGTCCAGGGGAAAAACATATGCTTATATAAATATTTACAAAATATGTACGAAATAACCACAAGGTGATTTTGGGGGAAAGGCACTAAGAACTTGGATCAGGAAAGGCTTCCTATGGAAGATAGTGCTTGTGCTTTACAGACATCTCCACTCCAAATGTTCACATGGACTATTTGTGCCTGACCTGTGGTAGAGCCTTCCAATCTCATGTTGGTCTGATCAGCCACAGTCAGACACACTGTACCTTGACCCCAACATAGTGATGCCATTTTGATCCTCTTCAAGAGCAAAGGACAACAAGCAGTGCTTGTGCTGAACTTTGAAGGAAAGGAGGAATTCTCCAAGGAGGAGGTCCTGGGATCATTGAGCTCCAGCTAGAAGCGATCTTGGAGCTAATCTAGTCCAGTCACCTCATTTTACACATGAGGAAACAGGCCCAGAGAGATGAAGGGATCTTCCCTGAAGGGGGAGTTCATTTCAGGCTTGAGGGCATCCAGTGCAAAGGCAAAGAAATGGCAAATGGCAGGTTGTGTGTGAGCAACAACAAGAAGGCCATGTTGGCTGGGCTATCGTTTATGTGAAGGAGAGTCATGTATAATCAAGCTGGAAAGGTAGGTTGAAACAAGGTTGTAAAGAACTTTAAATGCTAAATAGGGGAGTTCATTTTTGATTCTAGAGTTAATAGGGAACCAGTGGAGTTTAATGAGTAGGGAAGTGATATGGTCACACCTGTACTTTTGGAAAAACAATGGATACAATGATGGATTGAAGAAGGCGGAGGGAAACCAATCAGGAGTCTATTGCAATAATCCTGGTAGAGGTGATGGCCACTGTTCCTCCACCTGAACCAGGGTGGTGGCTATGTGTGCAGAGGGAAGGGAGTAGGTACAGTTGCTACCTGCCCAAGTGGAATTTGACCAGAATGATCACAGTAGACCAGTTTCTATCACCATTATAAAGATATGCAGGAGTGGGCCATATTAAGCAATTCAATTTTTAAGATGTAGCTTACTGGTTTTTCATGAGTAGATGTAGCTCACAATGCCATCATGAACTTTGAAAGACAAAATGATCACTTCTGAGAATCTCTTTGCCATGGTCAGCTGTATTTGTTTATAAGAACCTTTTGCTTTTCAGTGAAGTTTTGACTAGAAATAAAAAATAGTCTAACTGGTTTATTAAAAACCACTCAGAAATTCCCTAATTGATAACCACTCATAAATTCCCCAATTGATAAATGGTCAATGATACAAACTGGCACTTTTTAAGAGAAGAAATCTAAGCTATCTATAGCAAGTGGTCAAAATAAGGTAAAGTGAGGCACAGAGTTCTGAGCATGATTAATTTATTAGTAAAGCATGAATTTACCAATAAATAGGGGATCTCAGATTCCTCAGCAAAGCTAAGACCCTGAATGAGGGGGGCAATTCACTTTTCTGATTTTGAGGAGTACAGCACAAAGAGCGGGACTTTATAGGTAAGGAACAAGTTATAATTGGTTAAAAGAGCTCAATGTCATGAATGGAGAAATCAGTATGATTGGTTACAGAATTGAGGTGTGGAGGACAATATGATTGGTTAGAAATTGAGACTAGAGATTAGCAACAAACCATCCTTCCCTCCTGTGACAAAGGAATGTTTATTGTTCAAGTCCACCTGTAAGGTTAGAGATAGTGGAACCAGACATCTTTGGATTAACAAACCAGACATCCTTGAAGGATAGCTTGGTGGTGTAAAGATTCTAGACCACACTGCCTGGTGTCTACCTGCCTCCTTCAAGGGTAACAGATTTCCTTGACACAAGACTAGAACAGTGATTAACGAGAGAACTGAATTTCTAAACTTCTAAATGAGAGGGAAGGAATAAGACGTGTACATAAATAGTTATGATGCAAAACAAGAATGTAATAAGTCAAAAGTAGAGGTCCAGAAAAAGTGTTATGAGGAATTTTAGGAGAGAGAGAGGGAGACCACCTTTAGCTGGGGGAATCAACAAAGTAGCAACTGAGTTAGTGTTAAGTGGCCCTTAAAGGAAAGGAGTGATTTCAAAAAGTAGAGATTGGGGTGAGGTGGAGGAGAATCCATCTCTTCCAGTTAACAGAATGGAGATTGAATATGGGAATAATGGTGAGTAATTCAATTTAGCTGGAATATAGAGTATGTGAAAAAGAGAATTGTGAGATAAGGCTATAAAAGTAGGCTGGAACCATATTTGTGGAGGGTTTGAAAGTAAGGAACAATAATAGGGAGTAAGGAATTTATGCTTGTTTTGAGTACGTAATGGGGAGCCATTGACATTTTTTAATAGAGTGGGACAGCAATGTGAGGGACACAGGAAACCCAATTAGGCTACAACAGTCTAGGTGAGAGATGATAAGGCCCAAACTAAGGTTTGGGAATGTACTATGTACTAGTCGTAGTAAGGTAGTAGGAATGGGAAGAATAGGATGAATTTAATAAATATCATGGAGGTGGGAATTACTAACACTTCTTTGTAAGCATGTCTGACAGTATCAAATATTTGTTTCTTTTACAGTTGGGCAAAACTGAGGCGGAGGGAAGTTGTGATTGTCGAAGCCGCAGATAAAATGCTTGGTTCTCAAGATAATCTCCTCCTTGATTGCTTAGCAGCTGAAACAGCACCCCACACAGTTCCTCCTGCCCTTTAGGTTAGTTTCCCACCACAATTCAAGATTGTTGAAAATGGAAACAGCTCATGGTTTGGTTTCTTTCTCCTTCACCTTCCTAGTTGATCTTGGACTGTACCATATATGGGGGGGGGGGAAGCAGTTGGCAAAGCCAAAACCAATCTGTTTAGAAGTTATGCAGTATTCTTACACTTTAACCTGTAAAAATTCTTAGGCCATTTAGTGGTTTGGAAGGATTTTCATGAGTACTGCTTCAGCTAAAAGATAGTAAAAGTAAATGCCTTAAAAATAACTGAACTTTGGCTTACAACAAGGTCATTGTTTGGCAACCTCCACAGTTCAAAACCTTTCCAGAGCTTTGAGGAGGAAATGACTGTGAAACAAAATAGTGATTAAGGAAAGGAAGGAAGGAAGAAGGAAAGGAAAAGGACAGAAAACAAATTAATATTTGCCTTGGTTACCAAAGATTAATCCCATTTCTTCTAAATGCTTTACCCCATATTTGGAGTAAGGCTAAAAGTACAAAGAATTAGTTTAGCTTTGCTTTTTTTTTCTTCCTCTCTCTGAAATTGGTTTTGCAGAACTGGAAATTTGGCAACATGCATGGAAACTAGCAAATCAGTTTATAGCATTCTGTGCCTTTCAGTTTATTGAAACCCACAAGAATGAGGAAAGGCTGTATGGCTTCAAATAAGAAAAGGTCTTAATGTTACAGGCCTTGCATTTTCTGAATGTTACTTTTCCCCCTGCAAATTTAATGTTACGAGAATGGCACGTCTAGCTCACAGTTCACTGACAGTGGCCTCTCAGCCTTAAATCAAGCAGGATTTCAGCTCTGTTGTCTCTGCCTTTTCTTTTTTCCTTTTCCTTTCTCATGCAGAAAGCACTTAGATGTTTCTTAAGCTTGAAGACAGAAGGACTTCATTATTTATTTTTCCTTGTGAATAAGTGAGATGGTTTTGATCAAATAGAATCTCCTGGCTCATCCTATTCCTTTCTCTGTTTTCCGAACCAGGCACCATAGCACAACACTGCACAGAGTGAACTGATTAAAAACAAGTAGAAAGTATCTGTGTAGTTGAGAAGTTCTTCACCTCTTTTTATGGGGTTTCCTTATCCTGGAACGTCCCTTTGCTATGTTGGTCTCTTTCAGAAATTCCTCCCAGAGCTTCCATTTTGAAGGGGGGCCCAGGCTGGCCAACTTTTGTTCCCTTCCAGCTGTGCTTTGGGCTTTCTAGATTTTGACACCATGCTTCACCCTCAGTCCCTGGAGCCTACTCATCTGGACGTTCATCAGTCTCCCCAGCTTTCTCAGCATACAACATCCCTCTGCTACGCTGACTTTTCTTTCTTCCATTATTGAGTTCCTGTAGCTTCCATTTTGGGTAAGGCCCCCAGCCAGCTAGCCTTCATCCCTCTCTCAGCTCTGCTTCTGCCTTTCCTGTCTTCAGAACTATGCTCCTGTATGGATACCTTCACACAGTCCCCTCCACCACTCCCCCCAGCTTTTCGTCTCCCTTTTGTGCAGGCTTCCCCGTTAGAATGTAAGCCCTTTGAGGGCAGGGACTGTTTTTATTTTTTGATCGTATATTTCTCCCCAGTGCTTAGCGCAGTGCCTGGCATATAGTGTATGCCTCATAAATGCTTAGTGCTTGCCTTGCCTCATGGCATGGACCACTTTGGCGGACCACTGAGGAGCCCTTCTCAGAATAATGTCTTTAAAATGCATAAAATAAAATATATAGGTTTGCAAAGCAATCCAATTATATTGAAATACAGTTATCACAATATTAAGACAAGTTCATGGACCTAGCTTAAGTAAGCATGGTATGGTTATATGTTTGTGTTCTGCAACTACACTCTAGTGAGGAACTTAATGTGGTGTAGTGAATACTTACCTTCTACTGGGTGATATCCCCCTAGCTTTACTTCATAGTGGTCATGTTTGGAGCATCCGTATTCTATTAAAGAATGTGCCAGGTGGACATGATTGGGAAAAGTAACTGGCCATAGTTTAGTTCCTTTTTAAAAAAAATTTTTTTTATTTTTATTTTTTTAGTTCAGTTCCTTTTAATGCAGGCTTTAGCAGCCACCATTCAATGTTTTGGCTTTCCCCTGATGGACCACTCCTATTGAGTGTACTTCCTTTTTTGGGGGGGAATATTTGAATTCACTGTGTAGTATCACTGTATAGCATGTCAGAACTGTAAGGGGCCTCAAAGGCCTTCTAGCCCAATCAGTACCAGAGGCATGTCCTCTTTGCAACTTCTTCAACTGTAATTGTTAGGAAAATTTTCCTTACATGGGGCTAAAATGTGCTCTCTGCAGTTTCTACTGATTACACCTAGTTTTACCTGATGCGACGAGACAGAACAAATTTAAAGCTACATTTATTGTGCAGTATGATGAAAAGAATACTGGCTCTTGAGTCAAAGGATTTGGGTTCAAATCCTGACTCTGATACTTACTACCTATGTGACCTTGGGAAGTACCTTGACCTCCCTGGGCTTCAGTTTGCTCATCTATAATATGAGGAGGTACAACTAGATGGACTCTGAGGCCCTTCTAACTCTAGATCTGTGATTCTGTTACTTCTTTTTTTGTTGATTTAAACAAATGTGTAATTGTTTTAAAACATTTTATAGGTGACTTTTGTTTTGTTATTACTAGTTCATCACTTCTCTACTATGATATTGGAAGTGAGTTTCATTGTTAGGACTGTAGAATCCAGATAATCAATGTAATTATAGATGTAATTCTGGCATCTTTTTTGCATTGTTTTCCTTCATGTTATTGTGGCTGTCATGTATGTTTAGGTCTTAGTTCTTTCTTTGCTTTGCAGTAGTTTAAGCAAGTCTTCTGAGGTTTCTCTGAACTTCTCAGAGTTGTTGGGTTGTATATCACAATAATACTCCATTATATTCTGGTACTGTAGTTTGCTCAGCCATCGTCCAGATGATGGGCACCCACATTCTTTTTAGTTTTGTGCATGCGTCAGTAGTTATTGGTGTCCTCTCATTCAGCTTTTATTTTTTTGTTACACTATTTTCCGTTTTCCTCTACTTCTTAGGTATCTTTATCAGTTCAAGAAGCATTTATTAAGTTCCCATTTATGGAAGGCAATTCAAGTCTATAGTCAGTCAATACACATTTATTAGGTACCTACATTGTGCCAGACACTATGCTAAGTGCTAGGGATTCAAAGAAAGGCAAACAATAGTCCCTGCCCTCAAGGAGCTCACAATCTAATGGGAGGGGGATATCACAGACAAACAACTATGTATAAACAAGCTATGTGTAGGACAAATAGGAAATGATCAGTAGAGGGAAGGCATTATAGTTAAGAGGGATGGGAAAAGGCATTTATTAAACACCTACTATATACCAGGCACCATGCTAAACTCTAAGGATACAAAGAAAGTAAAAAAAAAGGTCCTGCCCTCTAAGAGCTTATAATCTAATGGGTGGATAACACAGGCAAACAGCTATGTACAAACAAGCTATGTGTAGGTCAAACAGGAAATTATAAATGGCGAGAAGGCTCTAGAGTTAAGAGGGATAGGGAAAGGAATTTTTAAAGCATTTATTAAGCATCTACTATGTACCAGGCACTGTGCTAAATGAGGGGTACAAAGAAAGGCTAAAGAAACCCCAACAGTCCCTAACCTCAAGGAGCTCATAGTCTAATTGTGGAGACTACTTGCAAATTTGGAGATAATCTCAGAAGGAAGAACTAGCATTAAGGAGGATTGGGAAAGGCTTCTTGGAAGCCCTATGCCAAGTACTGATATTGCAAAGACAAAAAAAAATGTATCATCAAGTAGCTTCTATTTTATTGAGGAAAGTGGCATTTACAACAGCATTTATCTAAGCAAATAAAAATATACACAAAGTAAATAGAAATTAATTTTGGGGATAGAAGAACACCAACAGCTAGGGGAATCATGAAAGATAATATAAAAGGTGGCAGTTGATCTGTGCCTTGAATTGAGATATGGATTCCATAAAATAAAAATGAAGAGGAAAAGCATTTGGGTAAAGTCATCAACCTGGGAGACGGAATGTCACATAAGGAAAAGCAAGTAGGTCATTTTGGCCCTTCTCCCTGCAATAGTTGGGAAAGTGATCCTAAAGTGTTTACAAGATCGGGTTGCCTCTGGCACAGATTTCCTTAGTGGAAATTCCTTGGTCCAGTTCAGTTGCCTTTTCCAACTTCATCTTAAATGCCATTTTAACTTTCTTGTATGATGTGTAGTTTTTGCTAACTAAGATGGTTTCTCTAGGGGTTTTTGGCTTCTCTTTATGATGGCTTTTCCATTGGTTAGAGTGTTAGTAGAAATCATGATAATATAGGTCAGTATCTTTAGTTTTTTTTCAGATCCTCTTTTTTTTTTTTGGCTTTTATGGCCTATATGAATAGGTCACGTTGAAGTTGTTATAATTGTCATCAATGTCTTCTTTTTAATCTTTAGCCTTTCTGCTAACTTGATGTTGCTTTTGACCTTTGCTCTAACTAGCTGATGGTTATGGTTGCACATACACAAGTTATCTGATATGATTTCTACATCTGTAACCAGTCTGATGTTGATCTAGTTCTTCCTTTCTTTATTCCTTCTTTCTTCCCTCCCTCCCTTCCTTTTTGCTTCTCCCTCCCTCCCTCCTTCCTTCCCTCCCTCCCTCTCTTCCTCTTATCTTCTCTGCCTTTATCCCTCCCTCCTTCCTTCCTTCCTTCCTTCCTTCCTTCCTTCCTTCCTTCCTTCCTTCCTTCCTTCCTTCCTTCCTTCCTTCCTTCCTTCCTTCCTTCTTCCCTCCCTCCATCCTTCCCTCCCTCTCTTCCTCTCTCCTTCTCTACCTTCATCCCTCCCTCCCTCCTTCCTTCCTTCCTTTTTTCTTCTCCTTAGGGGATCACTCAGTCATTAGTCAATCAGTCAGTCAACAAGTATTATTTCGGTGCCTTTTATCTGCCTTTGGTCCCTGGGGAGAGTGGACTCAAACTTAAGTCTACCTGGCTTAAACCTCAC